ACTTTGAAGGAAAAGATTTGTAACTAAATATCTGGAAATCAATATAATAGTCCTTTTTTTTCTTAAACTTCATCTCAAATAATATCAAGCAACCCACCAGCCCCCAGTTATATCCTCCAACCACTCTTAAATAGCAAGAACAGTAAGTTCTGTTTTTCACAGCTTGATGCCATTTCTCACATGTCACTATTACACCAAAGTTGCAAATTCCTCTTAAAATTAAAAGTACAGAACAAGTTTCTCCCCATTACATTTTCATGACTCAACAAACGGCATGCCATGTGCTACGTGCTAAGTAACTTCAGTCATGTCTGACTCTTTGTGACCCTGTGGACTGGAGCCCTTTGCCCATGAGATACTCCAAGCAAGAATACTGGAGTGTGTTGCCATTTCCTCCTCCAGTGGATCGTCCCAACCCAGGGACTGAACCCGTGTCTCTTATATCTGCTGCACTGGCAGGCTGGCTCTTCACCACTAATGCCACCTGGGAAGCCCAATAATAGGCACAGTTCAAGAGAAGAAAGGAATCATAACAAAGCTGAAAAATACACTACCATTTATGCATCTTAAACTGACTAAACATCTACCATTTCTGTTAAAGCTAACCCCTTTAAATAGGAAAAAATATTTGGGTACATAGATACAGAAAGAAAAGTGTATCTCTAATTTAGAGACCTGTTCACTCTAGTAGAACTAAAGCCTCGGGTGTCAAGGAGAAAACACAGTAGAGACAGAGTAAAATTATTTGACCTAATCCAGCAGACTGATACAAATCTATCTGAAATAACAATTGGACTCTAAAGATATGGGAAGTAACAAAATCTACTGAAAACATCCATGTCTGCTTCCCAGTAAAACAACTTTCTCCCAACTTTCTCCTACTGAAGTATCAGTGCAGCTCAGCTGAAGTGTTAAGTAGGGTTTTTAGCCTTGGCTGCATACAAGGATCTCTGGGGAAACTTTCAAAAGTCCCAATGCCAAGGACTCATCACAAATCACTTAAATGAATTTCTGGCAGTGGATCTAGTAATCAGTACTTAGTAAACTTTCCCAGGTTATTCCAATATGAAGCCAATGTTGAGGACCTTTGATTTAATGTATAAGAGAATTTCTATTGCAACAACACGGCAAACAGATTTTCATCACTTACTACACAGGCCTTGGCCCTAAGACACACCATCCTCTGTGCCAAACACAAAGAAAAATGCTGGATAAATTAGGGGAGAATACTGTCACATAACTCAATATGAAATAAAAAATGGAAATCTTCAAGCTTCAGAAATGAAAAGGAAAAGAGTAGAGCCGTCAGCCTTGGAGGGCTTCCCAGGTGGTGCAGTGGTAAAAAGTCTGCCAGCCAAGGCAGGAGATACAAGAGACAGGTATGATCCTTGGGTCGGGAAGATCACCTGGAGAAGGAAATGCCAACCCCTCCAATGTTCTTGCCTAGGAAATCCCATGGACACAGGAGTGTGGCGGGCTATAGTTCATAGGGTAGCAAAAGAATTGGAAACGACTTAGCAACTAAAAAGCAACAACACTGAAATGATCAAGATTTTATCATTCATTGTGTTAAAGCTGTGTACTATACTCATTGACTTGAATATGCTGGACCATCCCTGCATCTTTAGAATGAAGCCCACTTAATCATCCTTTTAATGTATTGCTGATTTTGGTTTGCTAATGTTTTGTTGAGGACCTTTGCATATAGGTTTACCTTGTAATTTTCTTATAGAGTCTTCATCTGGCTTTGCTATGGTGGCCTTGTAAAATGAGTTTGTAATGTTTCCTTCTCTTCTAGTTTTTGGAAGAATGTGAGAAGGATTATAAAGTTCCTGTTTAAATGTTTAGTAAAATTCACCAGTGAAATTATTGGTCCTTGACTTTTGTTAGGGAGTTTTTGATTACTGATTTGATCTCCTTAGTGGTAACTGGTCTGTTTAGATTTTCTGTTTCTTCATGATTCAGTCTTGGTAGATTCTATGTTTCTAGGGATTTACCCATTTCTTCTAGGTGCTACAATTTGTTGGTATATACCTGTTCATAGTAGTCTCTTAATGATCTCATATTTTCGTGGTGTAAGCTGCAATGTTTCCTCTTTCACTTCTGAACTGGAGTCCTCTCTTTCTCTTGGTGAGTCTAGTTAAGAATCTATTTGTCTTTTTAAGAAACCAGTTCTTAGTTTCACTCATCTTTTCAACTGTCTTTTTGGTCTGTTATTTTATATATTTTCACTCTTGATGTTTTTATTTAATTTCCTTCTGCTAACTCTGGGTTTAGTCTGTTCTTTTTGTAGTTCCTTAAAAGTAAGTGATTTTAAAGATATCTATCTATCTATCTATCTATATCTATATCTATATATATAAGGCATATACATATCTCTTGTTGTGTTCTTCCACTCTTTCTGCCTTCTTTGATTTTAATTGAGCATTTTATGTAATTCTATTTTTCTCTCCTCTCTTAGCATATTCTTTTTTTCCTTTTTTAGTGGTTTTCCCTAGAGTCTGCTCTATACATTTACAATGAATTCAAGCCCACTTTCACATAGTACTATACCAATTCCCTGAGTTTTCTTTTAATTTCATATATCCCGGAATGGGTATTATAGTCTTGCAACCCAGAACTGTCAACAAGTACAGATAAAAAAAAAAAAAAGCTCTAAGCCTGCTCTATGTGGCCAAAGAGGCACCAAACCTAGCAGGGACCTCATCCTTGATTACATAGCTGGACTATAGAGTTGCAGGCTGACCAATTAGGCCAGAACCAGAGGTGCCAATGAAGATCAGACAGGAAACTTCACTCATTGTCCAATCTACATCTAGTGTAGACAGGTCCATGCTGCCTATACCAGCACCATTGACAGGCCCAGCCAATACCTCCCATTCTTCCACCCAGCAGCTGAGAGTGACCCAGGTCTGGTAACTTTTGCTCCTCTACTCAGTGGCAATAGATGACTGAGACCCAGTGTCTCCCAACTCCTCACCCAGTAGCAAAAGGTGACCTAGAAAATGTGCCTTTCAAGTCCACAGGCAATACCAGAGAATGAACGGGAGCCCAACTAGCATCAGGTGGCAGGCCATAAGGTGAGCCCAAGGAAGTGTTCCCAGACTCACAGGCACAGCCACTCTCCCCCACCTTTCACCGAGCAGCAGCAGGCCCGGGCAAGTGCACTCTACCCCCATGGGTGGCATCAGCAAGAATCGAGAAGAGAGCCTCTAGTGCTACATGCACAAAACAAACCAGAACACCACTGCGAGGGCTCTCAAAATCAGGGAAACTGCCTGTTAAAATATATTACTTCAATATATCATTATCTCAATAGGATCAAAAGTCTTCTAACATAATATCCAAAATATCCATGATACAATTTTTAAAAAGTATTCAACATACCAAGAACCAGAAAAAATTCATAAGAAAAGACATCTAAGGGACTTTCCTGACAGTTCAGTGGTTAGGACTCTGCTCCGAATGCAGGGGGCACAGGTTCAATCCCTGGCGGGGAACTAAGCCCCTGCATGCCACATGTCATGGCCAAAAAGAAACAGGAACAGAAAGACTGATATCAACATGAAGAAGAATCAGATGTTGGAACCATTTGACAAGAATTTTAAACCAGCCACCATAAAATGCTTCTAATATGCAATTTAAAATTCTCAAATGAAAAACAGAAAATCTCAGCAAAAAAATAAAAAATGTAAAAAGAACCAAATAAAAATTATAGAACTGAAAACCTACACTAGCAGAAATAAAAGCTCCAGGAATGGGTTCCAGAATAGAATGGAGAGGACAGAGGATAGAATCAGCACACTTGAAAGAAAATCAAGAACATTTACTCAATTTGAACACAGAAAAAAATAGGCTGAAAACCAAGCCAGAAGGATTATGGTACAATATAGGTTCAACAACAAAAGATCTAACATTTCCATCATTAGAGTCCCAGAAAAAAAGGAAGGAAACTAGCTTACAAAGGTATTCAAAGACATAATGGCTGAAAACTTCCCAAAATTGGTGAGGACAAAAACCTAGATTGAAGAAATTTGGGAACTCCAAACTAGATAGACCTAAAGAAATCCACACTAAGACACATCATAATTAAACTTCTGAAAACCAAAGATAAAGAAAGCAATTGCTTTTTTTTTTTTTTGCTAGGCCGTGCAGCATGGGGGGGATCTTAGTTCCCAAACTAGATACTGAACCTGTGCCTTCTGCATTGAGAGCACAGTCTTAAACCACTGAACCACCAGGAAGTCCCACAAAGAAACAATCTTGAAAATAGCCAGAGAAAAGCAACATATTTGTGCCAATTCACATGACAGATTTCTCATCTGCAACCATGATGGCCAGAATTAAGTAACATATCTTTCAAGTGCTGAAAGAAAAGAAATGTAAACTACAAATTCTTATATCCAGGGGAACTATCCTCAAGAAATGATGGGGAAATAAATATATCTTCAAATGAAGGAAAACCAAATCCAAGGACTAAACAAATTTGTACTAACAGAATCTATCACCATTTGTACAGATAACAATTCTTGTCATCCGTACACAGGGACTGAATAGATATAAAGAGCCAGAAATACTTGAGCCATGAAATGCTACATGGCTCTTCAAATGTTATTTTATTTAAAAAAATAACAATGTTTAATTTTAAAAGTTATCTTACAAAAGCTTTTAATAATTTCAGGAAATACCCAATATATAAAACAAATTAGAAAGGAATATTCCAAACTGTTATCAGTTGATTAAGGCAATTGACTCCTGGTAGGAAATTAGGAATTTATTTTTGGAGTTTCCAATTTGACTAGAGCATTTGTTATTTTCTAAATGTTTACTAGCTGTGTAACCACAGTGTATTGGAACTAATAATATAATACCAAGAGCCCTGCTAACACTCAGAGATTATGAGTAACTGTGCCAAAGAATAAGGAACAGCCTCAATGAAAGGAAACACTATTAACTACTGCTGCACTTATCCAAAAGAGAAGAGTGCTATCTTTACATACCTGTGAATTTGTCCATTTTTATGCAGGTATTCCAAACCCTCCAGCACTTCTTTGAGTATTGTAGCAATGGTAGCTTCATCCAGGACTCCACTTTTATGTTCCCCCTTTGCCACAATGTGCTTAATAATATCTAGAACAGAACCTGAAAAGAGAAGAAACAGTTTTCCATAATTTTTTAACTCATTCAATATAATTCAGAGCCATTTAAAAATCAAAACACATGCAAATCTTCTCATAAACTTAGCTGTGTAGGAAAGGAAGGAAAAATAGCAATACAAAGAAATATAAAAGTTTAAAATTAATATATTAATTCTACTCTAAAACAGAAAGCAACCTGCTAATATCCAAATAGAAGTGTTACACCAGCATCTTCTTTAGACATCCAATGAGAATTTGAAAAAGGTAATAGAGGATTTTAAAATCACCTCTGAAGAATCCCTAGGTAAACCATATCCATCAATAACACTCTAGCAAAAGATCTAACAAACCAATTTAGGTTTCGAACATCAGATTAGAGTATGCAACATTGTTTAAATAAAGATATAAAACACAACTGAAATGCAGGTCAAATTTATTATTACATGTGTATGCAAACTAATTTAAAGGTTAAAATTATATGTCAGGTTAATAAGTAATTGAAATAAAACAGGTAAGGCAAAAAAAACATGCAAGGAATAAAAGTGGAGGTTCTCTTTAAATAAAAGCCTAGATGTATTATCAATCTCATTCTTCCCAGGATGGGAAATGATATTCCTACTAAAAATCAGAGGGAGGGAAAACACACCAACATAATAATTAAGGGCTTCTCTGGTGACTCAGCTGGTAAAGAATCTGCCTGCAACGTGGGAGACCTGGGTTCGATCCCTGGGTTGAGAAGATTCCCTGGGGGAGGGCATGGCAACCCACTCTAGTATTCTTGCCTGGAAAATCCCCAGGGACAGAGGAGTCTGGCAGGCTACAGTCCTTAGCGTTGCAAAGAGTCAGACAGGACTGAGTGACTAAGCACATAATAATCAGAATCACAGAATGTTATCTACCATAAAAAAAAAAAAGCTTGCTAGAGATCAGTAGAATTTCTGGCAGTACAATGGCCCATAAAGATCAGAGAACCAAAACAAAATAATCTCCAATATTAAAAATTGTGCCAAGGAGTCTGGAATATAACATAAAGTACACTGAAAAGACTGAATGTCCACTTCTTGGCAAATGTTTCTATTGAAAATTTGCCCTGGTGGGTGTTTTTTATTGCACACACTTAAAAAGAAAAAAATATATTTCCAATAGAGAGAAAGAAGTGGTCTAGATGGAATCCTTGAAAACATGAGAGAACTGAACACATTTACTTCAGCTCCCACTGGAAATCCACTAACTTGATAAGCCTGATTAAAAGGGCATAAATCCAGAATAAAAAAGAAAACAAGATAACAGAAGAGATACATCATTAATTTTCTGAAAGACAGAAAGGAGAAAAAGTAACTTTGAGTATGCAGAGGGGGAAAATTGGAAACTTCAGTGCCTGCAGAAGAGGTGTATCAGTTAGGAAAACACAGATCTTGAGCTCCAGAAAGGCTCAGAACACAAACACCTTAGACCACATATAAGTATGTGAGGAGGAACTGATGGAAAGGTCTGAACATATGAAAACTGGTTGAAAGCTCACATAAAGCAGACTAAGATTCCCAGATCCCACCCTCCCCATCCTAGAAAGCAAGGTAACTACCATGCCCTACCTCTAGCAGGAGACAGGCTGTTTCTTCTCTGTAAACAAATAATGGGAGACTTCAGATTCTTGGTAACTTTTTAAAGATTTTCTCCCTCTTTATTTCTGGGATTCATAAGACTATGATCCACAAAGAGGGGAACTAAGGAACAAGTTTTGTTCTGTTTAGTTTAACCAATCACACGTTGACCCCCAGAGCAAAGTGACTACACCAACTGGCCAGGTATTTCATTCTTCTGAGAAATCCAGGCCACATTAAGAACTGTTCAGTAAGAAAAACATATATACAAATGCCAACTGAGTTAAATGTCTGTAATGTAAAGAATATCTAAAATAAGGAATGCAAAGGGAAAAACTCCTACTAGGAATTAAAATCACAATTTTTTCATTCAATAGTTAAGTCATATTATATGAGATCTAGAACTAGGTGCCACAGAGTATGTGTCCAGATCCACAGAGCATGACTGCTGACTTTCAGGGACCTTCTAGTCTGGTAGATCAAAGAAATGGGGCAACAAACACCCTAGGGCACATCAAAGTCACCAGATATGCATTTTAAATGAGTCTGAAGCAGGAACTCCTTTTCAAAAATCTTAGATTTCTATTAATTTCACATCACCCAGTGATTAATAGGGAAATTAAAGCAACACACATTCCCAGATTATGCCCAGAATGGATATACCAAACAAGGCTATGTAAGAAGCCCCTTCTTCCCTGGGATAACTTGTCTTTTCAGTTTTAGTTTCCCAACAATATGATTTTTATAGGTGAGGGATGATCATGCCACTAAGATCTACATCCTTAACTGACAAATATTGGTCCTGGAAGGTTCCCCCTTCTTTCCAATACGATTTCCTCAGCATCTTGCAGCATCTTACACAATGCCCTACGATCCTCCCTCTTGAAATATCGAAATTATATATAATTCTTCATATAAACTAAGAGAAAGATGAAAGTATAAGCAAAAGAAAACTATCACTGAATGATTCAAATTAATATTTAAAGAAAAGGAACAATGAAGGAAGCCTATATCAGCATATAGAATACTATGTCCTTGGGCATAATCTGGAAGAAGTGTTCTATAGGGATAATCTGTTCTCAAACTTAAATACATTAAGAAATTACTTAGCAAACTAGCGAAAAATGCTGATTCCCAGGTCTTATAGATTGCCATTCAAGAGATCTGATGTAGGGCCCAAGAAGTTGCACTTTAACAACCTAGATTGTCCACTGAAACCCAAGAATTTTTTAAAGTAAAAGCAAGTAAATTAAATAATGGAAAACAAGAGGGATTTGGTACAAATTTTTTAATAAAGCAAAAAATTAAAGTGTAGATCATCTACTCCCCAATCTCACATCTGCCTTCATAGTCTATGGCACAGAACATTTTAAAAAAAGTGAAAACTTTTACTGTCCAAGAAAATCATTACTAAACATTAAAATGATATTGAAAAAGTGGTGAAGCAGTTGCTGGTTCAAGACATTTGTTAAATCTGACAATTATAGCTCAATCGAATTAATCACTCTGTCAATATGTTTATTTCCTCAGTTTATTTTTATGAAAAAACACTCTAAGTCCAAAATTAACTCACCCATTTTAGTTACCAGTATTTTTACCAAGTTTTAATCAATCTTAAGCCACTGGATGCTGCTTATGTCTTCCTAAGCCATGTAAGTTTTAAAAGAAGCCAAAATTTGCTTGCTCTGAGTATTCCATTTCTGATCAGCAGACATACCCTCACTGTTATTTGACCATCCAAAATTGGTCACTCACAATACCATGTATTTTTCACCTGGGTCATGCTCAGGGTCAATAAGTCCCATACTTTTTCTCTCTCAGAAGATGACAAAGATGAGAGCATCCTTAAATCACAAAGTAATTCACTAAGACAGTGAATTTAAATTAGATTTCTGCATTTCTATAGTTCCTCCCTTTAAAGCCTACAGATTCTTCTTTATCTTTTCCTTTCAGAAACTTTCTTAATTACTTTGATTTCTAAAAATCTTATATTGCAGTTTGGTGCTAATAAATGATAGAAATAGCTATTTAGATATAAAGTGGTTCTAATTTCTAAAGATTAACCTTCTATACTAATAAATTTCAACATTCAACATGAGTTCCAATTATTTAATTAATAAAAGATAAGAATATCATAGTTATAAGAAAGCATTACAAAATAATTATAATAGGCACATTTCAACTTATTTTAACCATGGTGTCCTCCTGGTCCATGGGCTTAAGAGTGCCAGTTGCAGTTCATTTTACAATTTAATTAGATTATTAAATTCTATATCAGTACAATGTTGCTAAATCAAAAATATGCATTTTAAATATTTTGGTTGGAAAAGTTGGTGTGAAAGGAAAAGGTAATATGAAAGAATGCAGCCTACGCATACTTGTGTTAACTCTGGCTGTTTACATTTTTAAATTATTCAGATAGAGCCCCTGCTTCTCAGTGGTCCCCGCCTCTCACTCTCTCTGCTCCAGCTGTGATCTCCTTATCAGATCCCAAGACACACCACTCTCCTCCATCTTGCCTCCACTCACCCCCAGTACAGCGTTCCCTCTCTCTGGGTCTTTCTCCCATTTTCCCCCTGATACCACCTCCACATCCATGTCACCCGGCTAATTATTACCTATTCTTCGAGTCTTCTGAAAAACATCACCTCCTGAAGGTGGTCTCGATCCCATCACAGCCATTCTCCCTCAATAGTTAGGTTCTCCTGATACTTGTTCCCATGATACCTGATACTTCCTCATGGCACTCTACACACTTATAACTATTTAATTACAACTTTTTCTTATAAGACCCATAAGAGCAAGGAACTGATTGACTGATTCACCAATGTACTGGTAATCAATAAGTATTTGATGAAAGGCATTTTAACTGAGCTATCTTGACAGTTCCCTCCTATTTAAAAAAAGTTTTTTTTGTCATGCTTAGTTCTATTTTTTGTTTTCTACATATTGCTTAATGTATCTCTTCAGTTTAAATGTGTTCACTTTAAAACTAAACAAGATTACACTTTTCTAAGAAAGATGCAAAATTTTTAATATTTGTAAAGTAAACATTTAGATGTAAGGTTACGTTGACTCATAAAATTAAAAGTAATTTTTAAAAGAATTAATGCTTGGAACATATTTGAAAATTATTGTCCAGGAAATTTGCTGAGTGCTATGCTGGAAAAACTGGGCACCATCCCAGGAAACTTAAGACCCGGAAGAACAGAAAGGTACATTTCAAAGACATCCCACCCAGATACATATATCACATCCTGCCTTGTGATCAGGACATATACTCACTGAGAGAGGAATGAGAATTCTTTAAAAACAAACCAAAAAAAATTTTTTAAGGCATTCTGCTTATAAGAAGCAGAAAGGATGGACTGGCATACAGCTATGGATGAGAGAATCAAGCAGACAATTTATTCCTATTCATCAGAGGACTTTTTAGCAAAACATTAAAAACTCTGTATTACACATTTTGCAAATTACATATAAAGAAAATTATGCTATAGGTGATCAATAACGAAAGACACAGTATTACCTAATATTGCCATATCTGTCCATACTGAAAGAACCATGCTCGACCACCATCTTGAAAGGTGGTTGGTGTTAGCAAGGCTTCCAACCATCATATGAACAGGGCCTTTAACAAAGCAATCCAGTTTCTCCAGTGTGTCACTAATGGGATTGAAAGAAAAAGGTGATTCTGGCTACACTGAAAAGCATCAAATAACAAGGGCTCATTATTATCAATGACTAAAATTTCTTGTGTACATACTACATGTCAGCACAGTGATGGATGCTTTACACAGTCATCTCACTTACTCCTCCCCAAAACCCTGAAATGCAGGAAAGGCATCCCCAGACAAGTAAAGAGGTTCAAAGAGTTTGCCTAGGGGCATAACCACCAAGTAGAAAATCTAGAATTTAATTCTAAAGCCTACAGACTTTTCTTCAAAGCTTCTCTGGGGCAGTGAGGTGTTCAATGAGTAATGGTATTAAAATAACAAACATGGATTCTCTTTCCTGTAATCCTACACTACAATCGAAAATGGAAAATAATGCTCCCATGTTAAATATGTATGCAAACAAGCAGCAAAGTGATGGGAAAGTTGGGCAGCTCCATCACTCACTTGTCTTATCTCGCCACATCATTCAAATCCATGACGTAGCAAAATGTCCAATTTATTACATGGCATGGACTTCTGGGTAACCATAACAAAATTTTCAATCTATACATACTAAGGGTCCACTGTTTGCAATTAGCAATACTTACATTTTATTCTAAGGACTAAAGCAGAAATAATTGTATACACAATAGTGCAGGATATAGTACATAATGATGTTAATATGGGGGACCAAGATTTTCTGTGTGAGAGAAAAGAGATTCGAGTATAATTTTTAAAGTTTTAAAGGTCTGCAAAGTTAAATCTGAATTGGAAATACTAATGTCAAATTATGATTTGTTTTAATATTCTATATTTCCAAGCTCTTCCAAACAGAAGCAGGGACAAAATAGTAGCAGTACTCAGATATCCAAGTTATGCTTTCTGAATACCATTCCCCATAAAAAGGATCAGGGCTCCTTAGAATATTGGCTGATTCTGAGAAAAGCAACATAAATGTGAACCATTTCCTGGAAAAGGAAATGGCAACCCATTCCAGTATTCTTGCCTGGGAAATCCCATGAACAGGGGAGCCTGGTGGGCTGTAGTCCATGGGGTTGCAAAAAGAATCAGACACAACTTAGTGACTAAACAATAACAGTTGTTCCATATATATGTTCCACGTTTATATATGAATCTATTTCCCTTTATTATTAAAAGTGGTGAATAATTTTTCCAAAAAAAAAAAAAAAATGCGAACCATTTATACTGAACCAAAAATCAAGGTTATCAAAGGTTGATGGATCATGTCAAAAGGACACCACAGTATGTTTGAAGAGACTTCCACTAACAAAATTTTGAATAACCTGAGCATCAAAAAAAAAAAAAAGAGTGTAACCAATTGAAAGGCACTGAATATATGAAAAAAAAATCTTTGAGTTTATATAGTAATACTTCAAAAAAGAAAGCATCACTCAATGGGAAGAAAGAAAAAAAATCACTGGCAGTGATTATTAAACTAATTCTTTACTGTGAAAATTGGTCCTTAAAAAAACACATTTATCCTGTCTAAAGTGACTGCCCGCAATGCGGGAGACCCAGGTTCAATCCCTGGGTCGGGAAGATCCCCTGGAGAAGGAAATGGCAACCCACTCCAGTATTCTTGCCTGGAGAATCCCATGGACAGAGGACCCTGGTAGACTACAGTCCATGGGGTCGCAGAGTCAGGCATGACACAACTGAGCGACTTCACTTTCTTTAAGTAGGAATTACAGTATAGAATAATCAAAAAGTCTCAGTTAATATGGCAAAGTTCCTTTACAGCGAAGAATGCCACTTTATAAAAGTTAATTGAAAAAAAGAAAAAATTACCATTCTGCAACCTCTGACAAAATAATTGATTCAATCAAGGACTGTTAATGGATATTAGAAATCATTAGATCAAAGACTTGGGGAACTGGATACTCACAGTGCCAAAGTATCATCCCAAAGACTACTTGCTAGCTGCAAAGGGAAATAAAGCCAACTTTTCCATGGAGAGACCTGGCTGTCATAATCTTCAGCAATCAAAATCAACATCACTATTAAACATACAACCGGAGAGCAAATACTACTTCTTGACATGATGCAATATGAAGTACACAGCACCACCTACAAAATACTCTGTCCAAACAACCCTTTAGGTCTAATTTTTAATTTGTAGGAAACAGAGGAATATAAATCAAGTTAAACATCACCAGGAAGAAGTAACCAGATAAAGCCAGAATGTGGAACATCCTACAAGATAGACCCTTCAAACCAGACCTTTCATAAGTTTGTGAAATGGAAGAGAGGAAGTAGGAGGAAACCATCCTAGATTAAGAGAAATTGAAGAAGCGTGACAACCAAATGCAACATGTAAAACCTGTCTCACCTTGCACACTAGCATTGTTAGTTAGATATTGTAACCTCAGTATCTCCTCAAATGCATGTCCATGAAAACCAAACCACAGAAGACAGTTGTATTTACTTTCCAAACCAGGAAAGTTGGCATTTCATTGTACTCTACTCACCTCCACTTAACAGCTTCATGACTAGCCACAGCTCATCTTTTACCACAAAAGATGTGTAGTAAGACACAATATTAGGATGATGGCACTGACTCATGGCTTGAATTTCTTTCTACAAAGAAGAGAAAACATGGTAATTCATTATATGCAAGCCTAAAACAACACTAGAATTTACTGAATCCAGATTTGGGAATTCCAAAGACTATGTCACAACCTTTCTAGGATTTTCGTGGTTCTGATCTCTTCAAGAATGGTTAAACCAAAAAACCACTTTGTTTCCCTCAGTCCATTCTGATTCCTACTCCTTTCACTCATTAAACCAGTAATCTCTGAAACCAGAAATGTACTATTTATCACACCTTGGCACAGTATCACAGAGGCCTCCACTGGGACACATTTTTTACTTCAAGGTGTCCCTGAAGAAATCTTGGGAAATCAGGTTTTACAGTCACAGAGAATAATTACTAATAAACAGAGAGTGGTTTTTTTGTTTGGCACTTTTTTCCCCAAAATAGTTTCATCTCATTTTTGTGAAATGATTAACAGTTCTCACTTTATAGAGGCCATAAACTAAATCAAAAGTAGAAACCTGAGCCCAAAGTCTAAGCTTACACTATTCTCAGTTAATGAATTTAAACTGGATTTGGTGTGATCAGATGCCTTATAGAAGTCCTGTGGTGCTTATCTTTCCTGTGTACTTATCTTTCCATCACTCCCACTGCCTTCACTGAAACTACCCTCAACACACCCCAGTCCTACGATAATAACTTCAAGAGAGCCATGTTGCTTCTAATTATGATTCTAATTAAACTTCAAGCTCCAGCTATAATATAACTTCAAGTGAGCCATGCTGCTTCTAATTATGCACATTTAACCCTATTGTTCCCTCTGCCTAAAGTACACTTCCCTCATTTTCATCCAGCTAAAAAGACCAAATCACCCTGCCAATCTCAGCCAAAATACCACTTCCACCCAGCTTCCCAACTTTAGTGGCATGTCCCTTCTCTTGGCTTCTAAGCTCCATGCACATCTTACATTATAGCACATATGTATGGATAGAAAATTGGATGCTTATTTGCCTGTCCTCCCCTGTGAAACTGAGAACTTCAACCAAGCAAGTACTTAAAAGTGGATTCCTACACATGGTGGGAATTATCATACCATACTGTAGTTGCCTGTTTATTTTTCTGCATCCCTCACAAAACTGTAAGCTCAATGAGAGATCAGACTCTGTATTACTAGCACTTATCATTGTGCTTGGCACACAGTCTACCCTCAAAATATATTTGCTGAATGAATGCAATCCTACAGCGCTTTATACAGCTTTTTACTTACTGATGCACTTGCCCTATACCCTTGGTATTTGTTCAGTAAGATCAACTGTGTAAAAGTTGCTCCAAATCCCTGATTCATAAGAACTGTCCAACGAAAGGTATTCCTTCTCTTCTCATCTTCCCTACCCGAATGTAAGTTATTTTATGGCAAGGACTTGGTTCTGTGCGTTTTTGCTACCCACGAAGTTACTAGCACAATCTTCTGTACTAAAAGCTAAGGAAACACAAAGGATAAGGAAGAGGAACTAAAGTAATAAACACCTGCCTACTGGCACAGTTATATAGGACTTGAATAGATAAGGTATGTACACATTAAGAGGGAATGTACAGGACAGCACATACATGCCAAATGAGGTAAATGTTACCAGAATTCCAGAGGAAAGAACAGTTAAGGCAAGAAGTCTTCATAGAGTAGGCGGGAACTACGTTTGTGTTTTACAAGATGTGGGATATTATAGCAGTGCAAGGTACAAAGCACATAAAATTACAGAAAAGAAGAAAAGGATGAAATATGCAAGGCAGATTTTAGACACAGGAGTAAACCTGTCTAAACACAGGTCATGCTTTCAGCAGAAATTTACCAAGTGCCTACCTTATGCCAGGTACAGTACTAGTATAATGATGAACCTTTATGAAACTTACGGTCTGGTGAAGAAGTTAGACAAATACTAATTTACAATACATATGAATAAGGTCTGATAGGAGAAGTACTAAATACTATATGATTTCACTGAAGAGGTGAATTATCCAAAATTAGGAGTGACGATCAGGGAAAGATTCCTATAAAAAGTTTTACTACACTGACATTACAACCCTGTTGCGTGCTTAAGTGTTCAGTTGTGTCCAATTCTTTGCGACCCCATGGACCAAAGCCCACCAGGCTCCTCTGTCCATGGAATTTCCCAGGGAAGAACACTTGAGTGGGTTGCCATTTCCTACTCCAGGGGATCTGCCCAACTCAGGGATGGAACCCACCTCTTCTGCACTGCAGGAGGATTCTTCACCACTGAGCCACAGGAAAGGTCAACATTAAAATAGGAAAAATAAACATGTTTTTATGGGTTTTCATTGTTTAATTACCTGGGACCATATCGTAAGACCCAGGTAATTGTAACTGTGTTCAAGAATTTAGGATTCAACACATACCCCAATGTTTACTGTAGCACTATTTATAGTAGCCAGGACATAGAAGCAACATAGATGTCCACTGACAGATGAATAGATAAATTGTGGTAGGCCTTCCCTGGTGGTCCAGTGGTTAAGAACTTGCCTTCCAATGCAGGGGACATGAGTTCAATCCCTGGTCAGGGAACTAAGATGCCACACGCCACAGGGTAATTAAGCCTGCACGCTGCAACGAAGATCCCACGTGCCTCATTCAAACTCAAATTTCACAGCGCATCCTCAACACTCATAAGTGCTTCCACTCCTAGTCATGAAAATGCCTTCCTGACAGTCCTATATGTCTGGAGTATCAGATCTTTGTCTGGAATTTTTAGTGCTCCACCTCAGACTTTCGAAAGCCATGTTTTACTGACCATTGTTCACTCCTTTTTAAAACTCATTCATCTTGATTTCTATTCTTTGCCCTCTGGCTTTCTTTTTTCATTTTTTAAAATTTATTTATTTCTTAATTGAAGGTAACTGCTTTACAGAATGTTGTTGCTTTCTGTCAGATATCAACAAGAATCAGTATAGGTATACGTGTGCCCCCTCCCTCCTGAACCCCCCTCCCATCCCACCCTTTAGATTGTCACAGAGCCCGTCTAAGTTCCCCGAGTCACACTGAAGATTCCCACTGGCTCTCTATCTTACCTGCAGTATTGTAAGTGTTCATGCTACTCTCGCCATACATCTCACCCTCTCCATCTCCCCCGACCCCCCACCACGTCTTTGAGTCTATTCTCTAGGTCTGTTTCTCCATTGCTGCCCTGCAAATAAATTCTTGAGTGCCACCGTTCTAGATTCCATATATATGTGTTAGTACATGATACTTATCTTTCTCTGACTTACTTCACACTGTATAACAGACTCTAGGTTCGTCCACCTCATCAGAACTGACTCAAATGTATTCCTTTTCATGGCTGAGTAATATTCCATTGTATATATGTACCACAGCTTCTTTATCCATTCATCTGTTGATGGACACTAGGTTGCATCCATGTTCTAACTACTGTAAATAGTGTTGCAATCCCCCTGGTTTTCTAATTACTCCAACATAGTTGATTTTCCTTCACTTCACATTACTGAGTCACTCCCCAAGTAATGTTAATTTATTCATTCATTCATTCATTCAGAGTGAACAGTCTCTGCCAGCAAGAAGTGCTCATCCTAGAACTAACAACTTTTCCATCTATAAAATTTTGACAGAATTTCTGTCTTTCTTTACAGTGTTATTCCCTGAATTTAGAGTCTCAATATCTCTTTGTGCAGTCCAGTGTTCCTCAACCTATGAGATCCAATTCATATGGGTCATGAAATAAACTTAGCAGATCACATTAAAAAACAGACAAAAACAGGATAAAAAATCATAGTGCATTCCACATAATATAATTAAGAACTATTTTATGAGAACGCCTCAGTTACATTAATATATATAATATGTATTTTATCAACACATTCATAATGTTATTAGATAATATGCTATCCTTTGCTGATTTTAAACCCCTGCCCAGCAGGGTCTCCCTCTGTGCCTCTTCAAAGTCTTCCCAGCCCAGGTGGCCCAGGACACAAACATCTCCCCAAAGGCCTCCACCTTCATAACAGGGAGTTCGCATCTACCTTGTACTTCAACATGGTATTCAAACTTTTCCGAGGCGTTGTCACACTCTGCCTTGTACAGCAGACAAGAACCTTAACTCTTCAACCAGATGGTGAGCTTTATGATAGAAGAAAAGACATTTTAAGCCTCTTAATGGTCCCCTCAGATGTTTGTCCAATGAAACTAGTCCAAGCATTTACCGAGGAGAGAAAAATCTCAATCACCTGCATTCTATGCCTTTCCTACAGCCTGTAAGTAAAATCTCTGGAGAAAATAGATGTAGTACTATCTGACAGCTGATTTTGTGATCACACTTTTTGCAAAGGTTGTTAGACAAGAAAACAGTTTGACAAGAGAAAGGAGCAATATACCGCCTCCTCACTAGTAACTGTCACACACAATACACACCTGTAATTGGTTTACATCAGTATTCTCTGGAGAACCCAGAGTATCCTTTCTGCATTATAATGAAGACAGTTTTGAAAAAACAATCTTACAACCACAACATCAAAAGTTGAATATGCTGAGCTGATAATTTTTTTAAAAGATAAATTGAAGGCCTTTGTACCTTTTAGATACAGAACCACTGGCACTTAGATCTCAAGTCCTAACACTAACACAAATATCACAAATCAGGCAGTCTTTATATTTTTGATGCTTGTTCAGGGTTGAATGGAATCCTACCTGCATATGCACCAATTATTTTAAAGTCACTTTAAATCACTTTCCCCCATCTTTATTATTTGTTGATTTGCAAATACTATATATGCAATGTAAAGAGTTCTGGAATATGTGGGCAAATTTTATAAAGGTCTAACCAAATTTCTTTCCTTTTACTAAGCTATATCAAATTTGCATTCCTCTAAAAGTAAGGCCCTAGTGTAATAACACAAATATTACTTTCAAGAATGTCAAATGATATTTGAGAAGAGATGCTCTTTATACTTTTGAACTAAGATTTAATCATTTTATTAGTATTTTATGAAGTTAAAAAAATAGTAGACTTGAGTCATTAAAACCTGATTTTTTAGTCCAGACTCTGTTGCTTATCATGATTTAATTCCCTCATCTACGGAGTGGAGCTACTACCTATCTCGGAGATGTTTCTGAGGTTAAGGTACACTTTAACGCCTAGTACTGAAAAGGTGTTTGCTATTACTGTTATATGAACTTAGTCAAGTTATTTAAACTTTGAGCCTTAGCTGCTTTAGTCATAAAGTAGTAAATAAAAAGACGTTCATTCCTCTTTATACCATCCTTATGGATTATGAGGAGAAGGCAATGGCACCCCACTCCAGTACTCTTGCCGGGAAAATCCCATGGATGGAGGAGCCTGGTAGGCTGCAGTCCATGGGGTCGCTAAGAGTCAGACATGACTGAAAAGTAAATGGCAAATGATAGGAATTCATATTGGACTTTTCAAATTCCAGTGTTAATACATGGATTAAAAATACTGTTTTTCTTTAGTAAGAATTAGTTTACAATTTAGGCATCTTTTATGATCCCTGCAGTTCACATGTCCAAATGGTGCTCTAAGGTCCTTGCTGGCAGCTGTAAACCCAAGTTCACCACATAATGTTTCAATCAGCATCTCCTTCCAAGTATGTGTTCTCTCACCAAACAACTCAAGATCACTCTAGCAACCCAATTCTTCAGCTTCTGCATATGCATTACCAATTTCTGAAGAAATACATCTGCCCCATCTGCTAAAAATTCAATATATAATTATATTATCTCTTTATCACAGTTATACTACAAATTAAACCCAATCTGGGACAATGGAAAAGAATTCTGGACCGACAAATCATCCCAGTCCTAGTTTCTGCCCTTTCTACTATAACTGTGCATGATCTTAGAGAAATTATTTAACAATTTAACAATATTAATTCACATTTGAGGGGTAGTTTATGGTTTTCCAGTACTGCATCATTTGATCTTCAGGAAAAACCTCATGAAGTATACAAAGCAGAAGCAGATATATATACTTCCATTTTAAGCCAAAGAAGTTGAGGATTTGAAAAATCAAATGATGTGGATATTCGCTTGCTGAATACTTACTACATACTTAAAACTACTCTAGGTGTCATGGAGTATAAAAGAACTGCCAAACAATCCCTGTGTTGATGGTTCTTAACACCACAGAAACCTCACACAGCTGTAGATTCTCGGGGCCCCCTTTCTTCTCCCTGACTCTTGGAGGAGCCAATGCAGCCAATGATGCTCTCAATCTGCATCAATGGTCAGATGCAGATTGGTCCCACGTTCCTAGAAGACCAAAGCCTTTTAAAGGATGCTCCATTTGACCCAGGAATCACAATTGCATGATACTATTTTAAAGAGAGAAAGAAGCAAGCAAGCATTGTTTATAACAATAAAGAGAACACAAAAATCATTCAATACCAGAGAACAAGTTAGATGAAATATTCAACAGAACACTGCATACATATTGAAAACTATATTCATATTTATAGACATGGAATTCTGTGATAAATTTTTTAAAGACAAGAACAAGTATATGACATTATCATCATAAAAATACAAAGACTTAAATGTGCACTTATAACACATTTAGTGTCAATCTCAGAATGAGAGAATTGTAACTGCTTTTCTTCCTCTCTAGTTACTTGGATTTTATAAATTTTACAATAAGCAATACTTATTAATGAAGAAATCACAAGTTTAATTTTAAAAAAATAAAAAACTTCAAGTTATTTCCCACTCTAACATGAATATACAAGAAATATGAGAAGTGCATACCAGGAGTTCATCCATGCTAGTCTGACATTTCTCAAGGTTTATCCGTTTGATTGCCACCTTCTCCTTTTTAGGGGCACAATATGCTGCTTGGACCACAGCCGTTGCTCCACTCCCTAAAGATAAATAAATAAAACGAGTAAATAAAAAGACGCAGCGATTAAAACATTTCTGACTCCTACACAATTTAAGGGCACACAATTTAAACAAAAGAATAATTCTTAACTTGTTCAGACAACACTCAACAACAGATGCAGAGAAACACTCTGAAAAGTAGGGTGTCAGTAAAAGCAAAAGCCTTGACCATTCATAGAACTATCAATAAATACCAGCACACATACACCGAAATAAAAATTGTTAGACTTCTAGAAGTTCTAGAATATTATAGTATAGGCTCACATTTCCCTGCTCTTCTCTTTTAAATACAACTAAATACCGTAGAAATAATTCAACAGACAATCATAAAGATAATCTAACAGACAATCAGAGAGGTAGAAAGAAGTAGATAGAATAGCTAAGGACCCTCAGGATGTGCGGAAAAGCATCACTGTGAGCTCCCTGGGTTTTTCTTTTATCTCCTACCTATCCATGAGTGGACACCAGAAGAGCCTGCCTCCCGGAACCACCAACCAGGATAGAAAGACAAATAAACAAACAATTGTGAAACATCCTTTCTGGACAAAGTACTGTGAAAGGGGAAGCTCAGTAGTGATCTAGAAGATAGATTTCTCAAACCCCATCGGGACAACCCAGCCAGGCCACAGCTTCAGCACCAGCAGAGTCTGCACCCCACATCCAGAGAACAGTTGACCAGATGCACCAAAGGGACAACTAGTTCCCTGCCCCACACCCAGGGTGGGGGAAGGGGAGTTGGGGGAACTGAACAGACACCCATCGGTCAGTCCAAGTAACACCTGTAGAGATGAAACAGGAGTCCCTGCAGGGCCAGAAGAATAATGCAGAGGAGAACAACACTGCCAGAACTCTGAAAACTCAATTATCACAGGAATTACCGAGCTCACCAAAGTAGGCCAGGACTTACACGCTAAGCCCAAGCAGAGTAACTGCCTACTAAAATAGAAATTTTAAATAGGATCAGAAGTCTCCTAACATTAATATCCTAAACGTCCAGAATATAATTTAAAAAAAGAAAATCACATTGTCACAAGAGCCAGGAAAAACACACTTGAATGAGAAGACAATCACACTGATGCAAACACCAAAATGAATCACTAGTTGGAATTTCTGACAAGAATTTTAAGCAGCCATCACAAAAATGCTTCAATAAACAGTTAAGAATTATCTGAAAACAAATTTTAAAAATACAAAAATGTCAACAAAGAGAAGTTTTTTTTTAAGTACCAACTGGAAATTACACAACTGAAACATATAATTTCCAAAATTTAAGGAAAAAAAACCTTGCTGGAGAAAGCTCAATAGAAAAATAAAGATAACACAGGATAAATTTAGTGAACTTGAGGATAAAGTCAATAGTTTTACTCAATTTAAAACAGAGAGACTGAAAAAAAAAAAAGAACAGAGCCTCAGGGAGAAATGGGATAGCAGTAAAACCTCTAAAATCCCTGTGGTAGGTAGAATAATTAACCAACCCCCTCTCTAAAGATAACCACATTCTAATCCTTGAGACTCATAAATGCTAACATAAATGGTAAAGACTTTGCAAGTGTTATTAAATTAAAATAAGGGTGGAAAGATTACCCCAGATCATCTATCTATCTAGGTGAGCCCAATGTAATCACAAGGGTCTTTACAGAAGAGGCACAGGAGTGTCAAGTCAGAGAAGGTGAAGCAATGAAAGCAAAAGTCAGAGTAATGGACCATAAACCAAGGAGCAAGTACTGACACATGCAACAACATGGATAAACACTGAAAACACACTATGTGATATAAAGCCATCACAAAAAACCATATATTCTATGACTCTATATCTATGAAACGTCCAGAACAGGCAAATAAATAAACACAGAAAACAGATTAGTGGTTACCAAAGGCTAGGAGAAGAGGAGAATGGGAGGTCACTGCTTAATGGGTACGGTTTCTTTCTGGGGTGAGGAAAGTGATCTGAAATAAGACAATGAAGATGAATGCAAAACACTGCAAATATACTTTTAAAAAAAAGAAAGAAAGAAACACTAAATTTTACACATAGAAATGGTTCAGTCAGTTCAGTCGCTCAGTCATTTCCTACTCTTTGCGACCCCATGGACTGCAGCACGCCAGGCTTCCCTGTCTATCACCAACTCCTGGAGCTTGCTCAAACTCATGTCCATTGAGTCAGTGATGCCATTCAACCATCTTATCCTCTGTCATCCCCTTCTCCTCTTGCCTTCAATCTTTCCCAAACTCAGGGTCTTTTTCAGTGAGTCAGTTCTTCGCATCAGGTGGCCAAACTATTGGGAGTTTCAGCTTCAGCAACAGTGCTTCCAATGAATATTCAGGACTGATTTCCTTTAGGATGGACTGGTTGGATCTCCTTGCTGTCCAAGGTACTCTCAAGAGTCTTCTCCAACACCACTGTTCAAAAGTATCAATTCTTCGGCACTCAGCTGTCTTTACACTCCAACTCTCACATCCATACATGACTACTGGAAAAACCATAGCTTTGACTAGATGGACTTCTGTTGGTAAAGTAATGTCTCTGCTTTTTAATATGCTGTCTAGGTTGGTCATGGCTTTTCTTCCAAGGAGCAAGTGCTTTTTAATTTCATGGCTGCAGTCACCGTCTTCAATGATTTTGGAGCCCAAGAAAATAAAGTCTGTCACTGTTTCCATTGACCTGATGCAATGACCTTTGTTTTTTTGAATGCTGTTTTAAGACAGCTTTTTCACTCTTCTATTTCACTTTCATCAAGAGGCTCTTTAGTTCTTCTTCACTTTTTCCCATAAGGGTGGTGTCATCTGCATATCTGAGGTTATTGATATTTCTCCTGGCAATCTTAATTCCACCTTGGGCTTCATCCAGCCTGGCATTTCCCATGATGTACTCTGCATATAAGTTAAATAAGCCGGGTGACAATAAACAGCCTAGATGTACTCCTTTCCCAATTTGGAACCAGTCTGTTGTTCCATGTCTGGTTCTAGCTATTGCTTCTTGACCTGCATACAGATTTCTCAGGAGGCAGGTCAGGTGGTCTGGGATTCCCATCTCTTGAAGAATTTTTCCAGAGTTTGTTGTGATCCACATAGTCAAAAGCTTTGGCGTAGTCAATAAAGCAGATGTAGATGTTTGCCTGCAACTCTCTTGCTTTTTCAATGATCCAATAGATGATGGCAATTTGATCTCTGATTCCCCTGACTTTTCTATTTTTTTAAATTAAGTTATTTATCTTAATTGGTCCCCTGCCTTTTCTAAATCCAGCCTGAACAACTGGAAGTTCACAGTTCACGTACTGTTAAAACCTGGCTTGGAGAATTTTGAGCATTCCTTTGCTAGCGTGTGAGATGAGTGCAATTGTGCAGTAGTTTGAACATTCTTTGGCATTGACTTTCTTTGGGATTGGAATAAAAATGGACCTTTTCCAATCCTGTGGCCACTGATGAGTTTACCAAATTTGCTGGCATATTGAGTGCAGCACTTTCATAGCATCATCTTTTAGGATTTGAAATAGCTCACCTGAAATTTCATCACCTCCACTAGCTTTGTTCATAGTGATGCTTCCTAAGGCCCACTTGACTTCACATTCCAGAAGATCTGGCTGTAGGTGAGTGATCACACCATCGTGGTTATCTGGGTCCTGATATTTTTTGTATAGTTCTTCTGTGTATTCTTGCCACCTCTTCTTAATATCTTCTGCTTCTATTAGGTTCATACCATTTCTGTCCTTTATTGTGCCCATCTTTGCATGAAATGTTCCCTTGGTATCTCTTATTTTCTTGAAGAGATCTCCAGTCTTTCCCATTCTGTTGTTTCCCTCTATTTCTTTGCATTGATCACATGGAAGGCTTTCTTATCTCTTCTTGCTATTCTTTGGAACTCTGCATTCAGATGGGTTTATCTTTCCTTTTCTCCTTTGCCTTTTGCTTCTCTTCTTTTCTTAGCTATTTGTAAGATATCCTCAGACAACCATTTTGCCTTTGCATTTCTTTTTCTCAGGGATGGTCTTGATCACTGCCTCCTGTACAATGTCATGAACCTCCATCCACAGTTCTTCAGGCACTCTATCAGATCTAATCCCTTGAATCTATTTGTCACTTCCACTGTATAATCATAAGGGATTTGATTTAGATCATACCAGAATGGTCTACTGGTTTTCCTTACTTTCTTAAACTTAAGTCTGAATTTTGCAATAAGGAGCTCATGATTTGAACCACAATCAGCTCCAAGTCTTGTTTTTACTGACTGTATAGTTTCTCTATCTTTGGCTGCCAAGAATATAATCAATCTAATTTCAGTACTGACCATCTAGTGATGTCCATGTGTAGAGTCATCTCTTGTGTTGTTGGAAGAAGGTGTTTGCAATGACCAGTGAGTTCTCTTGGCAAAACTCTGTTAGCCTTTACCCTGCTTTATTTTGTATTCCAAGGCCAAACTTGCCTGTTACTTCAAGTATCTCTTGACTTCCTACTTTTGCATTCCCGTCCCCTATGATGAAAAGGACATCTTTTTTTGGTGTTAGTTCTAGAAGGTCTTATAGGTCTTCACAGAACCGTTCAACTTCACCTTCTTCAGCATTAGTGGTTGGGGGATAGACTTGGATTACTGTAATACTGAATGGTTTGCCTTGGAAATGAACAAAGATCATTCTGTCATTTTTGAGATTGCACCCAAGTACTGCATTTCCGACTCTTTTGTTGACTGTAAGAGCTACTCCATTTCTTCTAAGGGATTCTTGCCCACAGTAATAGATATAATGGTCATTTGAAGTAAAATGGTTAGTTTTATGTTATGTGACATATCTTAATCTCTTTTAAAAAGGGAATACTACTAACAACTTTAACTCATAATTCAACAACTTAGAAAAAAATAGAATCAGGAATATTTTCCAGCTCATTTAATGAAACCAGTATTATAAACACCAAAACTATACAAAGACATCACAAGAAATAAAAAAAAAACCTACAGACAAATACCTCTCGTGAATTTAGCTGCAAAATC